ACAGCGTCGTGCTCCAAATGAAGTGCATAAAAGGTGGCATGGACCGACCACCTCTCCAGTTCCGTTCTACCACTGGTGGTCTGAAATGGAATTCCACAGTGCCCGCAGCTTGGCTGGCCTTCCTGCCATCTGTTCGGGGATTATTGTAAATCGTTTATTTTAGTGTCGTTAGTTTAGCAGTGTAGCTAGTTATATTAATGTTTGGATTAGGAGGTGTTCCTCCTTCTTGATCACCTGCACCGTTTGGAGTACCCATGATGCCCCAAATCCTGGGCTTTAAGTCCTACGTGGCCTGCCTCTGGGTCTTCCTGGTCAGTTATCCCCACTCCTTCTGCCTGTACTGCCTTGGAGAATCTCATATTCCATCCGAGTGCGAGATTTGTCGTTCCTTCCTACCTTGTCCATGACAATCTCAAGAGCTTCGGCTTAGGAGGCATGTCAGGAACTTTCCATGAGGCCAAAGCTCGACCCAGGGGCTTCTGACCCCCATGTACGTTGCCAGGATCCATCCACTAGCACCTCTCTGGACCCAACACTTCCCAGATCGTAAAAGTCCAGATCTAAAGACTCTAGCAGGCATGGATGGGAAGAGGGTAAAGGAAAGCACCCTCATGAGAAGCGGGAGAAATCCCCATCTAAACCCTCTAAGAACAGGTCTGCCTACCCTACCCCCTCTAAGTCAGGCAAGGCTCAATGCCCCAGTACAGGTGTGTCTGCATCTCCCAGGGTGTATGCGTGGATATCAGCCATTCCAGGAATCAAGCATGCCCATTGACTGCTGCCTAAGTGAGGGGCAGATCCAGCTCCATCATCAGTGAAGGAGAGGAGAGGGTGGTCGCTCTCTGCCGCAGTGGTTCCGTACCACAAGCAGAGAAGGAACTTAATGGTACCAACACCTACTTACCATCCCAAGCCTGTGATGTCGGCTCCATCTATGCGTAGAAGCCCCTCTTGCTCTTCTGCTGGACCCACTCACTGGTCCCTTCCGCTGTGGTATGAAGCTGCCAGCACTGACCGTGCACCACTCATGCGTGCCGTCCACCTGCAGTGGCACCACTAGACAGGCAGTTCTGTCGGCTTCGCCCATAGACTCCAATCACTCATATTCCTCTGGCAGGATTGATGCATCGGTCATTCTGACAGTCCAGAGATGCGCCATTAGCCCTGATAGGGGTTCCAGAGCCTCGTTTGTACTCTGCCATCTCCGCAAGACATATCATCAGCCCTGGGACGAGTGACACCCTCCCCCATTGGGACCACTTCCATATCCATATGACCCCACACCACGTCCCTGTTGGGGTTCTTGGGACCCTTACTTCAGACCCCCTGGCTCCAGGAGATAGGAGCAAGAGTGCCAACAGAGATCACCTCGTGGGGAAAAGCATCAGCCCCTGGAGCATGGTAAGGATCAGGAACAGCCCAACCAGCAAGAACCCTCCCTTCCACCAGTGGCTCTTTCTTGTCTCCCAAGGAGGTGGTGGTGCCAGCCTCACCTTTGCTGCCTGAGGATTATAAACCTCTCCGGGACCTCCTGAGGAGGATTGTGGAGGCTTTACAGATCTCTCTGAAGGAAGTCTAGGACCCTACTTACAAGTTTCTGGATATCCTGCAGACTACAGACCCCGGCAAGGTGGCACTTCACATCAACAAGGCCATATTAGAATTGACTGGGACTGATTGGCATGCTCCAGCCACTTATGCCCCAACTCCAAAAAGGATGGAGAAAAGCTATGTTGTCCCACCTAATGAGGTAGAATATTTGTTTTTCCATCCCGTACCAAATTCTCTAGTAGTACAAACTGTTACTGAGTGCAACACACTGCACCAGCCTCCTTCTACCCCATCCAACAAGGATGCTAAAAAACTGGACCTCCTAGGGGCTCCTTGGTGAGTGAGACAGTTTTGGTTCATCTGAATCCTCCAGATGTCCACATACCCATGTATCCACTTAAAATAGTTGCCAAACCTTCTGACTTGAGACAAAAGCAAAACAGTCTATCCCAGCCCAGCCTCTCTCCACCTCACAACCTGGTATTTGGATGGGCAATGAGAGAGGTCATGCTCCAAGGAAGTCCAGTCCAGCCTCAGCAACAGCAGAAAGGCTTCTGCAAGAAAATTCTGTGCTGCCAAATGAAAGAGAATCTCTATCTGGTGCGAATGCGCCCAGATACCTCCCATGCCTCTCATCTTGGACCATCTCTTCCTAAAGTCTTCGGGTTTGTCCATTAGATTGCTGCCAGGTACACACGCAACAGCCAACTCTTTCCATCCTCTCGTAGGCAACTGCTGAATATTCACCCATCCTACAAACATGAAATTTCTGAGAGGTCTTGTCAGAACCTTTCCTCCAGTATTGGTGCTAACTCCTAATTGGGACCTTAATTTAGTGCTGTCAGCATTCATGAATCCGCCACTTAAGTCCTTGGCCTCCTGCACCCTTCTCCATCGATCCACGAAAGTAGCCTTTCTAATGGCAATCACTTCCACTAGGAGAGTAGGGAAGCTTATAGCTCTTATGTAGGCCCTCCCTACACAGTATTCCATAAGGATAAAATGTCCCTAAGGGTACATCCCAAACTCATCCCAAAAGTTCTCTCTGAATTCCACCTTAATCTGCCTATCCCTCTACTGGACACTTCATTCTCTAGATGTTCATAGAGCTTTGGCTTTCTACCTGCAGAGGATGAAGCCCTTTCAAAAATCCCAGAGACAATTCATCTCCTTCAATGAGCAAAATGAAAGGGGAGGCAATTTGATCACACACAGGCTCTCAAAATGGATTTCAGGCTGCATTCTGCTATGTTATGAACTGATGGAAACTCCTCAGGGTGTGAGGGCACATTTGACTAGAGCACGTGCTACCTCTGTAGCTTCTCTCCAAGGCATACCTCTGGTACAGATCTGTAGAGTGGTGACAATGGGTCTCTTTGCACACCTTTACCAGGCACTACGCCCAAGCTTCTTCAGCAGATGCATCCTTTGGCACAGTGGTCCTGGGATCCATGGTGCAGCATGGGTCCCTCGCTCCTTCCTTCTCCACGAGCACTTCTTGTGAGTCACCCATGGTGAATACTTGTGGGGACAAGCACTCAAAGAAAAAAGGAATGTTACTTTCTTTATGGTGACTGGAGTTCTTCAAGATGTGTGGTCCCCATGGGTAGTCCATGACCCCCCTCCTTCCCCTCTACTTCAGATCCTTCTGAGGTGATTTGTGGTAGGGTTGGAACTGGAGAAGCGGTCTGTCCAGGCCACCTGTATGCCTTCGGTTCAGAGCATGAGGAGGTTCAGGGTGCAGGCACAGCCCAGTAGACACTGTTAGTGAATAATCTTCTGGTCTCGGGTCCTCGGAGTGCATGCACACCCACAGTGAATACTCCTAGGGAACGTACATCTCGAAGAACTCCATTACCGTAAAGTAAGTCACCTTCCTTTCACACTGTCCTGTCAGTCTGAAGTGCTCCCCTCTCTCTGGTGTTGGTGCAGGATGTTGTTTGAAGGGTTTAGAATGCAGTTACGAGCGACTTTGAGATGCAGTTGCTTAAAATACCCCGAAAAGGGAACTTTCAGGTCAACTGATTTGCAAACATGTCCCTTTCTATTAGCTTGCAGTTTGATGCTGAGGTGCCGAATACATAGGCTGGTGTGTGTGATGTCATGCAGGCAGCCGTGCATTTGGAAGAGGCCCATGCTCTGGTGACAGAAAATTGGAAATACTTGATAGTTGTCTAGTGGGGTAAACAACGTCTCTGTTGCTAGTTAGAAGTCTTGTCATGGCTGTAACCAGCAGCAAATGATTCCTCTTCCCTGAGCTGCCTAGTACTGCAGGCTCTTGGAGCTGGGGCTGCAGGATCAGACTAGTTGCATCCAGGAATTCTGGTGGCAACCGTGAGAGCGAAGTTCAAATGGTTTGCCACCAGAGTCACAGAAGGTTGTGGGGGGAGGTGTGCGTGTGTGTCGGGGGGGAGAATGTTCTTGTCTAAAATTAGACTATTTCTCTGAGAAACATCTGACACTTGGGTGTCACAGTGATCAGCATTGCTTAAATTGCAAGCTCTCTGGGGTAGGGACCATCCTTTTGTTCTGTGTTTGTACAACACCCAGCACAATGGGGTCTAGGTCCTATGGTGGTAATATAAAAAATAATAATAATAATGAATATGATCTAAAAACATACTGATAGGTGTGCAGAATTCATGATACTGCTAGTAGTAAGTCATGTTCTTGTTAATGTGTCTTTGTGGTGTTATCTGGTCTGCAAATCTCTCTCAAAATATTTTCTCGTGATAGTAATGCTTTTGTCTCAGCTGAAACATCATCCCTCTCTTTACACTTTCCCATAATGTTCTCGAAAACGTCAGCCTGACGCATCTCCTCCTCTCTTTCTTTGACAAAAGACTTTCTTATGGAAAATCATTCAGAGATGATTATTTTTTTCAGATGGAGCATGAGAAAAAGACCACCTTACACAGAGCTGTCCAACAGTTCTAGCAATGGGGGCATGCCTCCTGCTCCTGCTGTGACTTCTCCTACGGGTGGTATTTGATAGCAGAGCTTGTTGAATCCCTGCTGACTTTGTGACACCCCTGTACGATGCATACCATACAAGATACGCAGAACAGCTACGTTCAGGTTGCTTTTAGAGCATTAGCTCGGCATTTCCTCACTGATTTTAACTGGGCTGGCTAGTTCTCATCACTGCAGTTTTGAACCTTAACGTTACAGTAATATAGGGTGTGTTTTGCTTTTATTATTCTAATTGGCTGACGTACGTTTGTCGCTATCCCATGACCTAACAGTGAGCTGTTTTTCAACTGTGACTGGGGATGAGGTGAAGAGGGATTCATCACATGCTTTCAGGTGTGCGCAGGGCAGTTCCAGTGGGTAGTTTGTCTGATCATTTCCAGGTGGAAACGGAATCTAGTAATTTATAAAACTAACCGTAAACCCCCCCAAAGAAATTGGGATTTTCAGTTTTAACCCTCTTGTGCTGTTGGTTTCAGGCGCAGCTGCGAGCATTTATCCCCGAAATGCTGAAGTACTCAACAGGTCGTGGGAAGCCGGGCTGGGGGAAGGAAAGCTGCAAACCCATTTGGTGGCCTGAGGATATTCCATGGGCAAACGTTCGCAGTGACGTCCGTACAGAGGAGCAGAAACAGAGGGTGTGTGTTGTATTGTCACTAACCCTGCAGTGCAGTCGTTGGGGTTTGGGAGTGGGTTGTTATGTTCTGAGCCTCCCTCTTGTGTGACAGAAAGAACACCTAGGTCATAAACTTCCCTGGTTCCATGCCATGGTTAAAAGTTTGTGCCCAAATCATATGGGATAGCTCTTCCTCCCCAGTTCCGTATCTTGGCTGGATGTCCCCCAGTTCCACATGACAACCATCCGTCTGCCCCTTTGTTCCCACCCTGGAGGGTTGACCCCCAGCTTAGTCCAAGGGGTGCAAAGGGCAGAGGAGAGCAGTGAAGGTGGTGAAAGAGGCGTAATCCTGGATCCACTCTGACTCCCTATTGCTAATTTGCTCTATGGTATTTTTAACCCTACCTCTCTTCTCCTTGCCCCCAACTCCTGTGGTGGGTAACTCCTAATCCAGTTGGCCACAGTAGCAGCTCGTGAATATAGGCTTAAGAAGTGGCTCACTGGCTCAAACTGTGTCTCTGTTCTCCCAAACACGCAATTCAGCTGCTAGACAGGACATGTTCCAGGCCCACAGAGAGCAACCAGAGGTGGTCACCCCATCTCACCAAGCAGAGCAGTGTGTGCCCTTCCTTTAAGTGAGAGAACAGGGATAGTGGGGCAGTCGGGGGTGATTGGGGAGAAAGGAAATGTGAAAAGAATGAGAGAGAACAGACAGAAAAAGGGACACATGTCAACTATGTTGGGATGTTGCAAGGAGCTAAGGAGGAGTGGGAGATACCGATTTACCCAACTATCCCAAAGGGGCATTAAAAATGTTGTGAATCACAGGATCGGATCCTTGCACAGATTGAGCTGTCCCTCACGGGGGGGCGGCCTGGTTGAGCCAGGATTTATGGTATCAGAGTCCACCCTTTGCTTGAGCTTTTTAAAAAGGCTTTGTTTTTTTCACTCCTAGTTAAATTCTCTGAAAGTTTGGAGCAGAACTGTTTCACCTCCACCCCATGGTCCTACAGACTTGTTCTGTAAAGTGGCACGTGGATGCAGACTGTACGCGTGCTGGCTTTCTTTTATAGGGTAGCTCAGGAACCGTGGGCCTTGGAGGCATGGAGGGGGCTGGGTGTTTTCTGGGAGGATTTTGTTTTTATTTTGTGAAAAAAAAAAACGGATTAAAAAATAACCCTGAAGAAATCCAACTAAAAATTTACATGGCTCAGATCCCGGGGGAATTGCTGAATGGAAACGCTGCTTTTAATGTAATTGAATTTTTTTATTTTTTCCCCCCCGTTAGGTGTCCTGGACCCAAGCATTGCGGACTATTGTGAAGAACTGCTACAAACAGCATGGGCGTGAAGACCTACTCTATGCCTTTGAGGATCAACAGACACAGCAGCAGACTGCAGCTACACATAGTATAGCGCATCTGGTCCCATCACAGACGGTGGTACAGACCTTCAGTAACCCTGATGGCACTGTCTCCCTCATCCAGGTGAGCAGAGCCCACTTGTCCCTTCACACTCACTGTATTGCGTGGCCATGTCTGGCAGAAGTTTTTAATTATACACCTTTGGCTGTTGGCTTCAGCTGTATGTTTCAGGAATCTTAAGTCTGTCTATATTAGGTACTTATGTGGCCTCCATTACCATCATATGTGAGTTCCTCACAATGGAAAGAGGAATACAGTCATCCTTATAACACCCCTGTTATCTCCATTTTACAGAGGGGGAACTGAGGCATAGACTGTTCCCTTCATTGCTGACTCCAGATATTATATTACACATATCTCCTCTTCAACAAACATAACCTTTCCGGAGTATCATTGCACATATGTCTATCTGACCCCCGCAACAAAAACAAGACAGGATTTTCTGCACAATACTTTAGGTCAGGGGTTTCCAAACTTTTTGCTGGCACAAACCCATTTTAATAATTTCCTCCTGGGATCCCAGACAGCACGGAGGACGCCATTTTGAAGAGCAAAATGGCACCCTCTGCACAGCATGACCTCGCACGCACCATATGTGTGAGGTCACGCCGCACAGAGGATGCCATTTTTCTCTACAAAATGGCATCCTCCACACATTGTGACCCCCGTATGTATGGTGCGTGCTCTTCAAAATGGTGTCCTCCATGCATCAGGACCTCACACGCACTGTATATGCAAGGTCACGGCGTGTGGAACAAAATGGCGTTTTCAGCACAGTAGAGATCACCATGACCCCATTAGCTGATGGCACAACCCTGTTTGGGGTCACAACCCACAGTTTGGGAACCGCTGCTTTAGGCAGTGTTCATAGCACTAGAAGTAGTGGTACTCACCACCTATGCTTAAACCAACCTCCAGCCGCTTGAGAGGTTGAAACAAGTTGCCATTTACAGTAAATTGTGCATGTCTTTATTATATAAGAGTCTTAAAGCAAAACACACAGAACTGACCTCAGCTGACTCATCCCTCTTGTTTCCATGTGTGCTTTGATCAACAGTTGAAATAGTTTAGTGTTGACATTTATATTCTCATTAGCCGTCAAGGTTAACACCCATTAAAATGAATGGGGCTGCAAACACCTCTCAGAGCTTGTTTCAATCAAGCTGTCTGCTGGTACACATCACTGCATTGGTTTATGCTTTGATGGCTATACTCACACCTGTGAGGACTGGGGATTGGTGTAGTTTTAAATAAAAGCTTAGGCTTACTCTACACCTAAAACTTAGGTTGGCATAGCTGCGGCTCTCAGGGGTGTGAAAAATCCACACCCCTGAGCGCTGTAGCTATGCCATCCTAACCTCTGGTGTAGATGCAGCTTAGGTCAACAGAAGAATGCTTCTGTCGATCTAGCTACCATCACCTGGGGAGATGGTGTTCCTTCAGTGACGGGAAAAACCCCTTCTGTCTCTGCAGGCTGCATCTGCTCTACAGGGTTATGCCAGCAAAGCTAGGGCATTGTAGCTGTGTCACTCTAGTCCCTGTGGTGTAGACATGACCTTAGTTTGGAGCATAAGATGGCAACTTTACTACCTCTTCTCTTTCCCCTCTTCCCCGCTTTCTCCCCCGCCCCCCCCCCCCCACCACACAAAAAAAAGGCACTCTCTGAGCTGCTGTGAGTTGGCCCAGTTTACTGCTGCAGACTCCCTCTTTTTGGCTTTGAGCTACTGATTTATGGCCTCCTTTTCAAGATGCTGAGCACCCACGCTCCTGTTCGTCTCTCTGGGGTTTGAGTACTCAGCGCTTCTTAGAAGCAGGCTATAAACCTCTTTGCCTCTGTTTTCCGAGCTGGTAAATGGGGATGAAGGTAACTTCCATACTTTACAGGGCTGCTAAGGATGAATTCATGTTTGTAAAATGCTTTGAAAAGCAATAGCAATATGGTAAGTGCTGGGTATTAATAGTGATCAGTGTGGGACACTCTCTTCTTCAGTTTTCCCTTTAGGTGATCTGGGGTCTAGAGGACTTGAGTGTCCCCTTAGCAGAGATGTAACTGGATTTCTGAGGGGAACACTGATGGCGGGAGCTGCATTTTGACGACTGTTTTATGGTGGTATTTTGCAGGTTGGCACAGGTGCTACAGTTGCCACTCTGGCCGATGCCTCTGAGTTGCCTACCACAGTTACCGTTGCACAAGTCAATTACTCCGCGGTAACTGATGGAGAGGTAAGGATGTGTGGGTCGTGTTTGTTTCTCAGGTATGCAGCACATGCTATGGTTGTGTGTATCTAATGGACATTGCTGACACACTTGCATTTTTCAAACTTACCGTATATACTCGTTCATAAGCCGAATTATTTTAGTAAAAAAGGGAAGCACCAGAGAAAGGGGGGGTCGGCTTATGAACGGTTATAGAGAGGGAGAGGTGGGACACAGCCCCTCCCCCCCAACAGAGGGAGCAAGGAGAGGCAGCCCAGCCAGCAGAGCGAGAAGGGAAGAGGTGGGGCCAGAGTCTCTCCGCTTCTGGCCACGTTGCTCTCCCCCCAGCCTCTGAAGCAGCTGCAGCCCCGGCCCCCAGAGCAGGCTGTGGTCGCGCCACCTGGCCCGCTGGAGCACACTGCGGCCGTGCTGCCTGACCCAGCCCGCTGGAACATGCTGCAGCCGCGCTGCCCGGTCTGGCCCGCCGGAGCAGGCTGCGGCCGCGCCGCCCAGCCTGCCGGAGCAGCTCCAGCCAGGCCAGAGACATCCTCCCCAGATAAGGTGGGAAGGGATAGGATGGGGAGAGTGTGGGGGTCCCGGGCTAGGGGTGGGGTCATGTGGGGGTGGTCACAGGGGTTACTCCCCTGACCCCCAGATTCTCCCCCCCTCAAAAAAAATTTCCCCACCAGTTGCTGTCCCGGCCTGTCATGGCAAGCAGCTGGCGCGCCGGGACACTTTGTTTACTTAGGTTTACCTCCATGCCTGCAGACGCTCGAGGTAAACAAACCATCTTGGCCCCCCGGCGGCTTATCCTGATAGCCTGGGAGCCAAAGTTTGCTGAGCCCTGAATTATAGGGTCGGCTTATGAACGGGTTATAAATTTTTTTTCCATTTTTACTTATCCATCTTGGGGGGGTTGGCTTCTAAACGAACCGGCTTATGATCGCGTATATACGGTAAGTCTGTACTGGGAATGCAAAAACCTAGTACCACACGCTGTCGTGTTAAAAACTGACATCAACATTAACGCAACATTGTTGTTGATATTTTCCATGGGTCAAAGTCAGAAAGTGCAATGTTGTGGTAATTGTGACTCAAGATGTGTGTATGCACAATTACTAGGAGACCCTAAGTGCCGAATTTCCTAACTTTTGTACATGTAAATCTCAGTCATAGTTTCCATTGGAATAATAGCAGATGTGTGTATTCTGTATGCAGCTATCCAGATATACTTATTCATGTGATTTCTGGATAGCCTTGAGCCTAGAGCATCAGTCGTGGTTACAGCAGGGGGATTAAGGTTTAGGACTTTCTGAGTCAGAGCCAGTGTGGCCTTGGGCAAGCCACTTAACTTCTCTTTGCCTCAATTTCCCTATGAGTAAATTGGGAACACTTCTCTGCAGCACCCCCAAGGGTTATTGAGACTTAATTACTGTGTAATAGGCTTGCGCTTTCCTCTGATAAAGGGCAGTGTATCCATGCAGAGTGGTATAAATGTTAAGGAAAGCACTATACAGTACAGTACATTCATTTATATATTTATCAACCAGATTTCTCAAACTTGGCAAAGCTGCATTTCCCACTGAGGGCTTGATCATGCCAAGCTTTTAAAGAGGAAGCACTTACATTTACAGTGCCAAAAAAAACCCTATATAATTTCCTTACATCGAGAAACAAAATGCATTTTGTATAAAGAACATTCCTATAACTCAGACAGGTACTGGAATTGCCTTTCTCGGTTCCCTCTGCCCCCAACCCTCCCCCCTTTAAGTTAAAGAGACTGCTGTTTCACTGCAGGCTGTGGTCCTCCCTCTTGGACATGTGCCTAGGTTTCTCGGTGAAGTACCATCCTTGTGATGGAGTGGAATGGTCCACCTATTCTGCTCCGTAAGGATAAGGTTTTCATGGCAATAGGTGGCAGCACAAAACAGCTTTGTTCTGTATTAAAGAGCATTTGCAGCTGAAAAAATGAATAGACACAAGCTGTTTGTTTGGGCTCTGGCCTTGAAAAGTACTTCATATTCACTAGAGGGTTTTCAGGACCTGTTATCTTTGTCTTTAGGCCTTGGGGAAGATTTTCAAATGCACAAATGGCAATTAGATGCCTAACTTCATTGACTTTCCATGAGAGTTAGGAGCTTGTCTTTGAAAATCTCACCCTTGTCAACACAAAGTTGTAATCGATATATAAACAGGTAAAACTTTTCTCATGTAGACAAACTGTAATTTGGTGGTGGACCTCTTGTAATCCAAGTGTCTGTGTTCTTACCTGGGGTTCCCCTCCCAGTCCAAGCTAGCACCTCACACTCCATTCCTGTCCTGGATGATGTGGCAGAAACCTTCCTCCCTTTCCGGAAGTTACTATCAGTGTCTGGAGATTTGAGCATTTTTCTTTAAGGGGACTTTGTCAAGGCTGGTAGGCAGCACCATGTGATCTACCTTGACCCTCCCCTTCTCTCTGGAATTCCTGTTCTGTCTCAAAAAATAAAAAATCAAATAAAAAATCTCTGCTGTCCAGAATCTCTTCATCTCTCACTCCCTCGGTCTCTGAGCACTTAAAGAAACCTGGATTACATACACCCCTCCAATCCCAACACTGCCTCTGTAGCTACTTTCTCGTGCAGCGCCAACTTCTTGCACACACCTTGTCTCTTGGTGTGCCTAGAGGAAATGGTGGGAGTATTATGCTTCTCTCTCCCTCCTTGCCGCCACGCTCCCTAAGACCAACAATCCCTTTGCCTCTTCTCTACCATCCTCCTGATTCCTGCTCATCCTCCTTCCTCTCACATTTTGACTCCTGGCTGTCATGCTTTCTCTCATTGCAATCTCTTCTACCTCATTTTCAGTGCCCTCTGCTTCTGCATTGATGCCCCATCTGATCCTGCAGCCACTTCCCTCGTCGTCCTCTCTCCTCTCTAAGGTGTCACAAGTACTCCTGTTCTTTTTGCGGCTAAAGACTAACACGGCTGCTACTCTGAAACCTCTCCTCTTTGTGTAACCTTCACCCCGGATCAACGTTCCAGTTCACCAAAATGGCCACTCCCTTGACCTCTTCACCACACACTGTTTCTGCTCGGAGCTTTTCATCATCAAGTTCCCCTTTTCTTTGACCATCACTTCATGTCCTTCAACACTGCACACTTGTCTCCTGCCTTTCCCCCCCATCCCAGCCGAGACCTACAGTCCATTGATGTCAATGACTCTTCTACCACTTTTAGCTTCCCCCTCTGTCTTCTCCCTATCTTTTGTTGACCCAGCTGAATCCCCCCACTCCACTCTCTATCATTCCTCCACTCCTTTGCACCTCTCACTCACAGCAAAGTCTGTTCCAACAACCTCCAACCTGGGTTCACGCCCACCATCTGCTTCATCCATTTCTGTGCCACTGCCAGTGAACACCCTGTAGAAAGTCTTGCGGCCATGCAGGCTTCCTTCGCTACAGATTTATTCTCTCCTCCTTTGGTTCTGCACTCTTCCTGGTCAAGCTTCATTACTTTTTCCTGCCTTCTTGACTCAGAGGCCAGCAATTGCAGCTGATCATTTGCTGCCTTCGATTCCCTGTCCTGTACCCTCCAACACAAGATGCGGCTGACTTTTTTGAAGATAAGTTTGATGAGACCCAACACTACCTCCCTCTCATCCCTGGTACACTCTCCTCCTCCCCATTACCAACACACAGGTTTCTTGCCTGCTTTCCTCTAATCTCTCCTCCTGCCTCATCCTTACCCTCCTCTTCTAATTCTGGCTTCCTCCCCTCACAATAGAAGCCTATTCTGGTCTCTTCCAGCCTAAAAAAGAAAAAGTCCTTAACCCCATCTGCCTCTCTAACTTATACCTCATCTTCCTTTCACCTTCAAACTCAAATACAGTCTACATCCATTGCCTTCGAGTTCCTCCATCTCCACCCTTGATCCTCTCCCATGAAACTGTTCTCTCACCCAGATATCTAATGGCGTATTCCTGGCCAAATCTCTACTCCATCCTCATCCTCCTCAACTATGGCTGCTTTTGTCTCAGTCATTCATCTCCTTGAAATCTACCTTCAGCTTTTGTGACTCCATCCTCTTCTGCTTCTCCTCCCACCTCTAGTTGTTTCTTCAGTGGGGATGGTGATTCTTCCCTCTTCCACTTTCTGTTGGGGTCTCATAGGACTCCATCTTTAGTCCGTTCTCTCTCTCTCTCTGCACCTCTCATCTGCTCTCCTCACTTCTCCTGTCATCTTTACACCTTCTCACCCTCCACTGCTGACCAAACTTCCTACATCCAGTCCCTCACCTCAACCTGTTTTATGACATCTCTTTCCATATGTCTGAATATCAGCTTGAGCTTGATGTGACCAGAACTGAACACTCTTGTTTTCCCTCCCTTTCTTCACTGTTCATGCCCTCTTCCTCCCCGCCACCAGCCCTGCAACCCAGGAGTCCTCTTTGACTCCTCTCTCTCTCTCCCTTGCTCCACATCTCTAGGCGATGCACAAATTTTGCTGTGGCTTCTCCCATACCGTTTCTAAGACCCAGCCTTTTTTGGCTCTGTATACAGACGTTAAACTTTCAACCATCCCTTCATCTCCCGTCTTTATACTGGAACCACTTCCCCTCTGGCTTCCCTGATGACTGGAAGGGTGAGTGATGCAGGCCACACAAAACACAGCTGTTAAAATTAGCTTGCCCTTGCTTCCTTGTTGTCTAAATACCTCACTTCTCCCCTGCCACATTGAATCCTTCCACTGACCTTTCTTTCTCCACCGCATCAAATTCAAGCTTCTTCGCATCACCTTCAGGGTCTTTTCTATGTGTCCGTTTTGGTATCTGATTGAGCAGCTCTCTCTACTCCACCAGAAAGGCTAGCCATTATCAGCCGTTTGTTCACTTGCCACACTTCTCCCGCATCATCTTTGCACCTTCTTCCACTCCACCCTTTGTGCATGGAACCGTCCCCCTGGAATGGTCTCCCTGAACTAATCCATGTGGCCACCCCGTCCTCCTATCAATCTCTCATTGAACTCTTGCTCAGACATGATCCCTCGAGGAAAAGGACAACTGATAATGGCTAGAGGGCTTGCTGACATATATATTATATATAGATAACGACCTGAGACTCTGCTTCAGCCCCTCACCTCTGATACCATGGGTAAGAGGATACTACAAACTGAAAGAAAAAAACTTGCCTAGGTGGGATGGATTGAGTCCGATCTAGTAGATCTCTTCACTGACACGGTATATGGAAAGGGGTCTGTGGAGCCTTTCCTGATGATCAGTTGAATGAAAGATTTAAGCACCAGCCAATAAAGGGACTTAGGCAGTTGGGAACGGGTCGGTGAGAGGAATTTTCTCTTATAAAATGGTCCACAGCTCTTTGAAGGTTGAAGAACCTTCATCCTCTGATTCTGTGATCTTTCGTTCCTGATGCTCATTTGTGCCTCACATCCTATTTGTGACCACACACTCATTGATACACGTGAGGTCCCAATTGGAGGAGTGTAGACTGGGGTGGAGAATGATCAGCTAGGAGAAGGTGAACTCTGTGGCAAGCACAAGATCCTGTATCCATGTAAATGTCCTTAGTTAAGAGAGAATGAGATGTATTGAAATAATTAAAAGACACGAACAGAACTGTTTCCAAACTATTGACTATTATTTGTATTATTCATAAGATCCCTAGTCATGGACCAGACCCCATTGTCCTAGGCACTGTGTAAACACACAACAAAAAGACTGTCCCAAAGAGCTTACACTCTTAAGAGCATATCTACGCTTACCTCCGGAGCGATCAATCCAACGGGGGTCGATTTATCGTGTCTAGTGAAGACACGATAAATCGACCGCCGAGCGCTCTCCCGTTGACTCTGGTACTCCACCGGAGTGAGAGGCGGAGTCGATGGGGGAGCGTCAGCAGTCGACCTATTGCAGTGAAGACACCGCAGTAAGTAGATCTAAGTATGTTGACTTCAGCTATGTTATTCACGTAGCTGAAGTTGTGTAACTTAGATTGATTTCCCCCCTCCCCCCCCCAGTGTAATCCACGCCTAAGTATAATACAAGAGAAAAGAGATGGATATGGGCATACAAATGAGGGAGTACAAGGACATAATAAGACAACATTTTGTTCTGTGTTTATACAGCACCTGGAACTATGGCGTCCTGGTGCATGACTAGGGATCCTAGACACTTTGGGCATACAAATAATTTAAAAATATTAGGCACATCATCTGTAGGCATCATGGCAAAGGAGGGATTTGGAGGATAACGAGGTAGTTTTTGTATCTTTGGAGGGGGTTTCTCCCACATGCATGGGGCAGTATGGGAGAAATCATGAATGTGAGTGTTTGAAAGTTCACAGGTAGGCAATGGAGGCTGGCATCCTGGGTCGATCAGAAGTGGGAGTCAACACCTTGATAGTGAATGAGAAGTGATTGGATGGTTTCCAAAATGTTCCCTGTAGCTCGGTTTCTAAATTGCTCCCAAGGCACCTCTTTTTCCAACAGAGATGCTCTCAGGATGTTGTGTACAGAAGAATCAAAGCATGTAGGATTTTTCAAAGACATCTTGAAAGTGTTTGACTTTCCCCTTTTAAGAAGTAGCCACCCAGCTGTGGGAAAGGTTCAGGGAAGGTGAACTTTTCTCTTTCTCTCTTCACCCAACTAGGTGGAGCAGAATTGGGCAACGCTACAGGGGGGCGAGATGACTATCCAGACGACGCAGGCTTCGGAGGCCACGCAGGCGGTGGCATCGCTGGCAGAAGCCGCAGTGGCAGCATCTCAAGAGATGCAACAAGGAGCAACCGTTACCATGGCGCTGAACAGGTACACGTGAGAGGAGGAGCTATGGGGACTGAATGGGGTAAGGTCACTGAACGAGGGAGACCTTTCTGCCAGATTTGCTATCCCTCACGATGAGGGCAGCAGAGAAGCCTGTGATACATTTGGAAGAACATTGTCTGGGGTCTTTCATAGAGATTTTTCCATAGAGAATTCCCAACCCATCCATGCCAAAGCATTCATAGATCATTTCCTAGTGTCCCATGGTAATATGAGGAAGCTCACAGAAATAGAAACGTGCTGTTAGGAAAGGTACATTTAGTACCCATCCCTCTTGTCCATTGAGTGTCCACTTAAAGCAGATAAGAGCTATAATGTGCTTGTAGCACTTGTTAAATAAGCAGCTCCATCCCTCTGTCAACATTATTGAGGGCCCCTCTGTTAAAGGGATGACGTTGATTTAACCAGGTGGGTGGCAGTACGGTCTCCTCTGACCTGAAATCAGAATCTCTCTTCCAGGCTAGTTGTTGAAGGTGTTTCTCCTGTGTTTGGTTCTGGAGCCGGGAAGCTGAAATGAGCTGCCTGGGTAATGATTTCTCCTCCTGCTTGGAGAGCTCTTGGCTTAGAATGAGCCCTGTTGTTGGGTATTTGCAGAAGAATGTTTTCACAGAGGATGTGAAGTGCTGATCTGAGGGTGAGATACGAACCTTGCAGAGGTCATTTTGAAAGACTGTTGAAAAAGGGATTTGAGTGAGAAGCGGGAGACTGTCCCAAGCACAAGGAGAGGGAAAAGGATCCAAAGGGCAGGGGTATTATTGCTCATTCCCTGAACCCAAGCTGGGTTTTCCTACCTGGTTTATTTTATATTTGTGCTTTGCATTTGCACTCGGCCTCCTTGTTTTTGGAGTCTGTTTATTGAACAGGGGTTGATCCTGCCAGGAGAAGAGCAAAGCATGGAATGTTAGTGTAGAGCTCCAGGAACCTCTTCTACAGACCACTTGTTAAAACAGCCACCTTTGTACCAGCTGCATTCCACAAACTGATTCCACGTTTCCGTTGCAGCAGGCTCCAGGACTAGCCCAGACCTATTTCCCGGGTCTGTCAATCAGATCACTCTCTCCTCTCCTCCCCACCCCCTGATTCCATCTCTTCCCCTTTGGTACCAAACAGTGCCACACTTTAGTCAATGGGAGAGGTTGCTGCTGAGTCACTTGAAGTGCATTCTTCTCATAGGCTGAATGCAATGCCTCTGCGTTACTCCCAGCAAGAGGCCAGGACTGGGATCCAGGTTGAGGTATCTTTCGGAACATGGTCACGTAGGCCACTATGTTATATTGATGAACTTTATCTACTGATAAAGACTTGCTGTCTGTAAAATCACTTTTTAAAAAACCCTGGGTAACTCTTTTCAGGGGATGGTATGAAAAATGACTGAACCCCCTTCCCCACCCCACACAAAGTATTCATAACATTGTAGTGAAGGCCTACTCTCACACATCAGAGGGGTAGCCGTGTTAGTCTGGATCTGTAAAAAGCAACAGAGACCTGTGGCACCTTTAAGACTAACAGATGTATTGGAGCATAAGCTTTCGTGGGTGAATGCCCACTTCGTCAGACGCGTACTCTCACACAGTCCACCCCTCCCCGCCTGTAGGATGGCCACTTACAGTAGTATTCAGAAGAACATTCTCCGGTGTACTTTTAAATGAGTCAGAGGCTAGGGTTTTGACCATTTTTGTAGATTATTCCACTGCCTAACACATCTCTGTATCAGGAGCGGTTTTCAAGATGTAGATCAATAAAAATCTGAAAAAAAGACGCATTGATAGAACCCATTGAAACAATGAAAACTAAACATTGAATTCTGCCAAGCCTAGTCATGTATAATTTGTCTCTTTCTCACGCCCATGTCCCACTGGAGAGTCACTTTTAGGCAGGTAGAAATTAAATAACAGAATTAACTTCAGAAAATCAGAATCCTTAGTAGAAATAACTCTTCTTCCTTCAACTCTAGTAGCAATCCCCGGGGGTTCCTGCAATACCTCTCTCTTTAGCCAGCTTTGTATTCCAGGAGGGAGTGGGGGAACCTGCAACAAGAGCCTCAAAATGTGAGGTGAGGTATTCAGTAAACATTTTGGCTGCTCTAGTTAGAGGTAGGATGTGGAAACCATGTGCACTTTGGGGAAAATACAAAGCCCAGGCCCTTCTGCGGTGACAGTGCAGGTTGCTTTCTGATGGCAGCAGAGTAATGGTGCCTCAGGAGGTCTTGTTAACAAGCTGCAATGCAGCTGAGCTGACTCAAATGTTTATCACGTATAAGGGAGAATGTGGCTACCTGCAGAAACTCATAGAAGTGTTGAGATGTTGACGTTGGGAAGTGTATTAGAAGGTGGGAATATACTGATTTATTTTCCTCAGGGGCTAGAGGTGTGATTCATGAAGGCCCTGAAGTCTTACCCACGCTTTTACTTTGCATCCCTCATGTAGACCTGTGGTATGACTCCCAGCCTACACAGCCCCACAATACTATTCTTTCATTGGCCAGAAGTCTTGTTCTGGATTGACTCAAGGAGCATAACCCTCCTTCACCACCACCACCACCACTTCCTTCAGCAGTCCTGGCAGTGAGCTGAGGTCTCCCACCTGTCACTAGGCCTCGAGGACACCCTGGTCCTTAAGAGCTGGCAACTATTACCAGCTTTTGGAAGGTTTCTACCTAATTTTAGCACAAAGCTGCCATCGCTCCATCGGGTGCTGGCGTGGTGTCTCTAGGGGTACCTGGTCGAGTGGTGTCATTGTAAAGAGCAGATGTGTGCAGTTGTGACAAATGAGGCCATCTCTGTAATCAGTTTAGGGATGGGAAGCAGAGGAGCAACTTCCAGCAAGAGAGGATGAGGGGGAGGGCACGTCCATGGGTGCACGCTTCATGTACAGCCATTTGAGTTATTAGAGAAACATTTGGGGAGCTCAACATAAATGGGAAGAGCTTTTGTATAGCAAAGCACTCGTATTCTTTTCAGTGATGCAGCCTTCACAGTTCACTGGGATGTTAAATTGCCCTTGAAAGTGGATTTAAATCCAAGTTCTTCTCATGGCTGGGAGGCTGGGTGGCTCCAGCAAGTGAAGTCTGTTTATTGTAGCTGGTCTTCGCACGCTATAAATACCTTTGGACCAGTGCAGATGCTCAGGAGGTGTGGCATACTTCCTAGGCCAAAGGAAGTGAGAAGGCAAGAAAACGAAACGGTAGGGTCAAATAGCAATGGGAGGTTTTGTGAGCCCAACCAACATTGGGTGGCAGTGAAAATCCAGCCCAAACCAAGTCAGATGGAAGGAACATAAAATCTATGATGGAAATTAAAAAGGTCAAGAGGGAAGGACATAAAAACAAACAACACATAGGAAGCATGCAAGAAAAGGGGTAGGTTCATTTGGACTACCGTGGAGCAATTAAGGAAGATCCCAGGGAAGCTAAATGGCTTCTTTGCATTGATCTTCACTGCAGAAGACGTATCTGCTTTTTCAGATAATTGAGGTGACGCACTGTCAGATATTCAGCTATCTGAAGAAGAGGTTCTGGAACAAACATATGAATAGCAACAGGTCACTCTGCTGCTAATCTCTCATTAAAATGAACTATTAAACCACAGAGCTGGCGGGTAGCAAACTTTTGGCCTTGGATAAAAGGAGCTGACGAGATCATGGGAAAAACTGACCAGTGAGCCTTACTTCAGGGTAAGGTGAATTGGTTGAAACAATTATTAAAGGTAGATTTACAAAACCCATAGGAAATTGTGTTTTAATGGGGAAAAACTAGTATGGTTTATGTACAGGAAGATCCTGCCTCTCCAGTTTTAGAATTTTTTGCGTGTCCACAAAGTAGTGCATAAGGGAAAACCACTTGCTATAACTTACCTGGGCTTTTCAAAAGTCCCTTGCAAAAGGCTATTAAGGAAACTACATGTGCCTGAAGAGGGATTTTAGAATAGGGGAAATTAGAGATGGAAAGGGCCAATTGGGTCATTTTATAGAATCTTAGAAATGTAGGGCTGGAGGGGGCCTTGAGAGGTCATCTCTAATCCAGCCCCCTGCACTGAGGAAGAAACAAGTAGACCTAGACCATCCATGACAGGTATTTCACTAACCTGCTCTTAAAAACCTCCAATGACAGAGATTCCACAACCTCCCTTGGCAGCCCATTTCAGAGCTGAACTACCTTATAGTTAGGAAATTTTTCCTAATATCTAACCTAGAGCTCCCTTGCTGCAGATTAACCTGATCGCTTCCTACCTTCAGTGGACATTGAAACAATTGAGCACAGTCCTCTTTATAACAGCCTTTAACATATTTGAAGACTGTAATCTGTTGTGTGTGTCATGTGTCGTGTTCCTCCCGCCCCCCGGTCTTCTTTTCTCAAGACTAAACATGCCCAGTTTTAGTTAACTTGTAAACTTTAATAGGTCAGGTTTTATAAACTTCTCTTTTTTTGTTGCTCTCCTCTGGACTCTGACCCGTTTGTCCACTTTTTTCTTAAATTATGGCACCCAGAACGACACAGTAGCCCAGCTGAGATCTCACCCATGTTGAGTAGAGCAGGACAATTACCTCCCATGTCTTGCATATAACCATTTTGGAACTGCATCACATTGCTGGCTCATATTCAATTTGTGATCAGCTATAACCCCCAGATCCTTTTCAACAGTACAACTGCCTAGCCACTTGTTTCCCATTTTGTGGTTGTGCATTTGATGTTTATTTCCAGCCAAGCTCTCCCCCTCCCCTCCCTGTGCCTCCTGCCTGCTGGCAGCCCTGCTGATCAACTCCTCCTCCTCCCTCCCGGAACCTCCTGCACTCAACAGAACAGCTGTTCAGCGGCGTGCAGGAGGCAGTGGGAGGGTGGGGGAGGAGCAGGGATGGAGCATGCTCGGGGGAGGGAAGAGGTGGGGAAGAGGCGGGGCGGGAAGAAGTGTGGTGCGGGCGGAGCAGGGGTGGGACCGCGGGGTGGAGCAGGTGTGGGGGCTTGGAGGAAGAGATGGAGTTGGGGCGGGCCTCAGGCGGAGGGTGGGTCGAGTACTCCCCCGGGTAGAGAGGAAGTTGGCGCCTATGACCAGTTCATCTAGTCCATCTCTCACCCCTCTTCCACTATTTATTCACTACATGATCATTTCCGTTCCTTTGGCCTGCTGAGAGCTCTCGCCACCCTGGTGTGTGTGATCTCCTTCTGTGGCACTTGGTTAAAGCCAAACACATCACAGCTGAGTTACTCTCTTCTTCTAATCATTTTTTTTCTTGTCCCTTCTGCCTGCAGTGAAGCAGCCGCCCATGCTGTCGCCACGCTTGCGGAAGCCACCCTTCAAGGGGGAGGACAAATCGTCCTGTCTGGTGAAACTGCAGCAGCAGTGGGAGCGCTTACTGGAGTCCAGGATGCTAATGGTAAGAGTAGATAAATATTTAATTGGATTTCATTTTGGTTTCCACTTAAACCCTCAAGTCCTGACTGACAGGATGCGTCAGAACAAACCCAACCTGTATGAGAAACAAAGGAAGAAAGTCCCAATGTGAGCTCTAACAAACCAGGAGTTTTGCTTAGCAAGAAGGTACTGTTGATCCCCCCAAGGGAAAGTTACCTGGGATGTTGGGCTTTTTTGCTGTAAGGAAGGTGTCACCACTATGGAGCGTCATGAACCAGGTTACACCTCTTACCTTTTAAAAAGGTCTTTGTTGGCCTTGGAATTTGAGGGGTCTTCAGAATTTAGCTGAGAGTTGACTGCAAGGTGCTACCCTCCAGGGTTTCCTTGCCGTCTATGGGACTTTTTCACACGCTCCTCTTTGGCTGCTGGAGAACTGTCACTATGATGCGATGTATCTGTGCTTTGGTGACACCTTCCACGCTAGTGAATGCATCCCTACGCTTTCTATTTTCTTCATAGCCCAATTCAGGCTGTTGCTTGCTTTCTTTGTAGGCCTTTCTGTGGTACCCCTCACAGTATCTGAGTGCCTGTTCTGAGTGGTGTCTGCTATAATTAGCCAACCACAATTGCTGCCTTGGTAGTGGTTATTAATATTACCAGAGTGCCTAGAGACCCTAATCAAAGTCCCTTTGTCCTAGGCAAATATCAGCATTTGTAGCTAATACTAACTAGCCACATGGTCTTGTTATGCCTTTGCTCAACTGCCAAGGTAAACAAAGCATTGCTTTTCAAATTCAGGGATGAAATGCATTAGACATTAAAAATACTTGATGATGCAATTGAACTTATGTTTACCTGTCTGCACCTAAGAACTGTGTGGCATGTATTCAGTTATAAGGAAATGCCGCTTTAAAGGATTGGACTATTTTAAATATTATAAATGCTAAAGAAAAAAGCCGTGGATTACCAGGTTGCAAAGTGATGGCCATTGTCTTTTGGTCTGTTCCATACCTAATACAGCACCTTTGATAGTTTATGCCTCATATTTGACCTACCTTGAAATAATTGGTTAGGAATGTTCTTTGTGTTCTAAAACATCACCATTCTGTTGTCAAAGAACGCAATGGAAAAAACAGTAGCAACTTTCACTAATGTTGCATTTGGCTTTGTTGCTATAGAGTCAACCAGCCTGAAGGGGTAGCACAAATTAACCTGCAAACCCTGTTTCTAAAACTGTTAAGAAGATGCTATTGCCCCCCAAAAAGTAAAAGAAGCTGCAGAATTGTGTTGGGTAATGCTCCACCGGCAACCTGGTGCGAAGGTTGTAGGGACTCCGTGTTCGTCAATGGAAGGGCCCAGAAAGAAGGGACCTGTTGTTTTCAAGCTTCCAGGAAGGTTTTACAGTCAGTCAGGTTGAGAAAAGCACATTGGTGTCCCTTTAAGAATAAAAAGTGGGTTAGCAAATCTGTCAGGCATGTTCCCTTTGGTTTGTTCCCAAAGTGCTTTCATGCTCTGGATGCCTCTGGACAATTCCTCCCACGTGCCTCAGGACCTGAGTCACTCTACCTCATTCATCCAGCATTAAAATCATTTTAATGCAAGATCGTTTTTATAGCAGACTTTGAAATCAGATGGGATTTGCAATGCATTTAGGAAAGAGACTGTTTGCGTTATTTTCCTCTGCGCAGAACTTCACCCGCAATCCCTCCCCTTGTTTCCTCCCCTCTTTGATTGCTGTAATCTCTGGTGGCATTAAAGGGAAGGTCTTTGTCTCTGCAGTAGTCCTTGGAAGCACCATGCAGTTAGTTTTATTATGTAACCAGCTAATACGTCTCCCTGTAGGGATGGAAGGCGACTTTTTGATATCAATTCCTGCTGTCTGCCCTCCATCCCCAGACGGGAAAGGAATTTTCAGCTTCCGTATTGTCATTCAAAATTTGTTTCACTCTTCCCCACCTTATGCATTTAACTTTTTATCGTCTGAGTTCTCCCCTGGTTTCAGAGTAAGGATCTGCTGGGGTATAAACATTTACTCCTCTGATGCAGCCAATCAGTATAAGCTGTTCAGAATGCAATTCCATCAGTGGGAGATTAAATGTGAGTGATTGGATGTGATTGGCTGCAGCAAGGAGAAGGCGATATCTTAGAACAGCGATTGAATTAACCCGCAAATTCTCCTTGCCCAGTGATTCTAACAAAGACTGAACTTACTAATATTTCCAATAAATGTTCCTCTCTAAAAAGCCGTTACCCTTTTCTAGCTCCTATCATGCCAGAATGCCAAAACACTTTACAATCATTGATTTCCATACCTCTCAGGGAGGTGGTGGTGTGAAGTTTGTTACCCTCATTGTATTGATAGCTAAATGGAGACAATAGAGTTTAACTGACTTGCCCAAGGTCACGCAGAGAGTCATTGACCGAGCAGGGAATAGAACCCAAGTGTCCTAACTCCTATTCCTTTACTTCAGCCACTAGATGTAATTCTTCCCTCCTTGTTTGGTTGTGTTATGTCCCTCCATTATATTGTTGTTTTTCCATCTATTGTCAGGAAGTGATACCCCTATTCCAGGAGAAAAAGGCTGATTATAAAGGGGAAACTTTTCTTTGTACTTAGACACCCCAGGAACTAGAGCTGAATTCAGTATTGCCAGAGGTAGAGTGGCTGGTACTGTTGTTGGACTGAAAAAGGGCTGTGGATAATCTTATGAGCAGTAACATTTATAGCTAAGGGAAATCAAATCTCCTGTTTCACTGCAGTGTAAAACTGTCTAAGTGCACGATGGGTTTCTCCTTCTTCTGGAGTATCTGGTATTGTCAGTCAGGATACTGGAGCTGATGACCCAACAGTCTGAGCTGTTGCCTCAAAATCCCGTGTTCTTAAATAATTGGAAAGAAAATATTGCGATATTCTAGACAGGCAAATGGGACTGTAGTGACATCTGTGTGTAAAGTTGGCTGGAATTGGAAAGGGCTCTGATAGGAGAAAATGGACTGCATTGCAAACATAGGGCAAGGGTTAAACACCTGCTAGCATGCGGAAGGGGAAGCAGTTTAATTCACATGGAGGTGCAGTAGCTGGTAGTAGGAGCCTGACCAAACCTGTGTTTAGATTAGGGCTGTCAAGTGATAAAAAACATTAATCGCGATTAAAAAACTTAATCATGATTAATTGTGCAGTTAATTGCACTGTTAAACAATAGGAGAATAAATACCATTTATTTAAACTTTCTTGGATGTTTTCTACATTTTCAAATATATTGTTTTCAATTACAGCACAGAATAAAAAGTGTACAGTGCTCACTTTATATTTATTTTTTATTACAAGTATTTGCACTGTAAAAAACAAAAGAAATAGTATTTTTCAATTCACCTAATACAAGTACTGTAATGCAATCTCTTTATCATGAAAGTTGAACTTACAAATATACACTTATTTACAAAAAAAACCCTGCATTCAAAAATAAAACTATGTAAAATTTTAGACCCTGCAAGTCCACTCAGTCCTATTTCTTGTTCAGCCAATCACTCAGACAAACAGTTTGTTTACATTTGCAGAAGATAATGCTGCCCGCTTCTTGTTTACAATGTCACCTGAAAGCGAGAACAGGCATTCTTATGGCACTGTTGTAGCTGGCGTCGCAAGATATTTACGTGTCAGATGCGCTAAAGATTCACATGTCCCTTCATGCTTCAACCACCATTCCAGAGGACATGCGTCCATGCTGATGATAGGTTCTACTCGATAACAATCCAAAGCAGTGCAAACCGACGCATGTTCATTTTCATCATCTGAGTCAAATTCCACCAGTAGAAGGTTAATTTTCTTTTTTGGTGGTTCGGGTTTTGTAGTTTCCGCATTGGAGTGTTGCTCTTCTGAAAGCATGCTCCATACCTCATCCCTCCCAAATTTTGGACGACGCTTCAGAGTCTTAAACCTTGGGTCGAGTGCTGTAGCTATTTTTAGAAATCTCACATTGGTACCTTCTTTGCGTTTTGTCGGATCTTCAGTGAAAGTGTTCTTAAAATGAACAACATGTGCTTGGTCATCATCCGAGACTGCTATAACATGAAATATATGGCAGAATGCGGGTAAAACAGAGCAGGGGACATACAATTCCCCCCAAGGAGTTCAGTCACAAATTTAATTAAAGCATTGTTTTTTTAACGAGCGTCATCAGCATGGAACCATGTCTTCTGGAATGGTGGCCGAAGCATGAAGGGGCATACAAATGTTTAGCATATCTGGCACGTAAATACGTTGCAATGCCAGCTACAAAAGTGCCATGCAAAAGCCTGTTCTCACTTTCTGGTGACATTGTAAATAAGAAAAGGGTAGCATTATCTCCTGTAAATGTAAACAAACTTGTTTGTCCTAGCCATTGGCTTAATAAGAAGTAGGACTGAGTGGACTTGTAGGCTCTGATGTTTTACATTGCTTTGTTTTTGAGAGCAGTTATGTAACCAAAAAAAACCTATACATTTGTAAATTCCACTTTCACGACAAAGAGATTGCACGACGGTACTTATATGAGGTGAATCGAAAAATACTATTTTGTTTTTATCATTTTTACAGTGCAAATATTTATAATAAAAAATATACACTTTTTGATTTCAATTACAATACAGAATACAGTATATATGAAAATGTAAAAAAGCATCCAAAATATGTAATACATTTCAATTGGTATTCTATTGTTTAACAGTGCGATTAAAACTGCGATTAACTTTTTTGAGTTAATCGCGTGAGTTAACTGTGATTAATTGACAGCCCTAGGTTAGATGGATAGGGACAGGGAGACAGACTCTTGAAGATTGTCGGGAAGGAGAGAGTGCAGCACAGCTGGGTAGTGCAATTCCCATTCACTGGATCTCTTCATGTTGCAGTAGGGTGACCAGATGTCCCGATTTTATAGGGACAGTCCCGATTTTTGGGTCTTTTTCTTATAGAGGCTCCTATTACCCCCCACCCCCCGTCCCAATTTTTCATATTTGCTGTCTGCTCACCCTATGTTGCAGCCT